GGGGATTAAACAGGCTAGAATACAAAATATCAGGGTGTTTTGCCATTTTAGGGGTAAGTTCTGCTTTGAGAGACTGTGATCATCACTAGGTCATGAAGTAAAATTGTTTTCTTAACTGTGGCTCCTGGACAAAAAAAAGTCTAAAAGCCACTTCAATACACCGAGCTACAGATGGTCAAACTTACAGCAAAGGGGACAGCTGCATTTTCTCAATCAACTGATACTAAAAGTTGTGTTACCACTATGTGTGTATGGAAAGAAGCTAAATATAACTTTTGATATTAGAAAGTAATATTGCGACTCAAAAAGGGAAGTACAAGAATTTCAGTGGCAGACAGTTCTTCCTGATTCCTTTTACCTGTGTTTGGTCTATTACAGACCACCCTCCCTCCACCTCCTTCCTCCCAATACATTCTTCAGATGTGTTAATGAAGTAGATTTGCCACAAGTGTACCTCTGTCCTGAGGATTAACTGCTTTTCCACTTCCTAAATGGACTTTTCAGATCTTTGATCATAACCATTTAAAGTTAATTTTACAGCCTGCTCCCAGAGGACTAGTGTATGTTCCTATCCCTCAGTTACTGTGGGGCACCCTCGCGCTTTCATGTTCTAACTACTTTAATTTAGAACACAGGGCCCTTAGCATCTGGCTCATACTTACTTCTCTAATCCTCTCTCTTTTTTTTTTAGGCTATTTTATTGATTTCTAGAGAGAGTACTAGGGAGAGGGAGAGAGGAAGAAAGAGAGAGAGAGAAAAAACATCGATGTGAGAGAGACATTGATTGGTTGCCTCCCATATGCCCCTGACCAGGGCTGGGGATCCAGCCTGCAACCGAGGTACATGCCCTTAGTGGAAATTGAACCCAGGACCCTTCAGGTCAATGCTCTAACCACAGAGCAGAACTGGCTAGGGCTCTAATCCTATCTCTTGACACCCTCCTACATAAACTAAATTATTTGTAGTTGAGATTAGTTTAATAGCACTTCATTGAACACCTACTATGTGCCAGGTCCTTGTATTAGGCTATGGGGATATAAAAATGAATTAAGATCCTGTGACAAAGCCTGCTGGCTGCCTAGCCTATACCTATTTTCCTAATAAGAGAACTCTGATTTTATTATGAGAATAAGGGGCTCATTCAGGTAAAAACAACATTAATCAACCTCCTTTGCTACTAAGTGTGGCCATGTGACTAAGTTTTGGCCAAATGGATATGAGTAGATTTTGTGTCGAACTTATGGAAAAACTCCTTTAGGAGGGAAATGGTATTTTCCCCATTTCTGCTTGCTTCTTGCTTAAAATGCAGATGTGATGGCTTAGGCTACAGCAACCATACTGTGACTCTGAGGACATAAGCCACATACCAAGGATGGTTGAAGAGAAAGGCAGAAGTAACTTAGGTCCCTGATGACTTCAAAGGACCACATACTAGCCCTTGAATGCTTATCCGAGAGACTGAACAATTTGCTTAAGCCACAGAACTAGTAGTGGAAAACAATTCTTGGATACTGACACTTGACCTTAAATAAGATACAGTGTTTATTTTGTTTTATGTTGTATCTTTAGCACACAGGAAAGTGTCTGGCTCCCAGTAGGCACTCAATGCCACCCTTCCTTTGATTTTTGTGGCTTGAGCACAGTTCAGCACAGTTGCTCAAAAACAAGTGCTGGGATGAAACAGGCTTCATCCACTCATTTGTAAACGTGGGCAAGTTGAAGACTTCTCAGTTATCTCTTGTGTAATATGGAGAGAATAAAAAAATAACTGCTGGATATCCTGGGTACCCTCAGATCTTCTCTCTAGCCTCCATCCTGCTCTGTGCCCAGGAAGCTGTCACTGGTGTCTTCCAGTTTCTGAGAAGGTTTAGCCAATGGGATGCATACTGGGCTTGCAGGTGGGAGGAGAAAGAAACTGGGGTATTTATTCCCTAGCTCCTTCTTTGCCTGGCCATGGTTTGGTAGAGGCTAAATTCTTCTACAGGAGACCAAAATTTCCATAAGAAGGTTCCAATCCCTCTCCTTGTGCCTTGAGACCTAGGAGTGGTAAAAACTTCACACAGCTACTATGTGAGGTTCATCATCACTTGGTTTCCACATGCTTGTAAACAGTCCTGAAAGAATAGGACATCTATTTGGTGCAAGGACCTTGACTGATACAATAACTTACACAAGAGGGTGCTGAGAATAAAATGAAATAATGTATGTAAGAAGCACTTACTCCCTAATAAATGCTAACTACGAATAGGGAAACCACTTGATGTTCTCTCTGCCTGAAGAGGTCACTCTTATTTGTTTTTCAGGACTCAGGTCAAAAAACATCTCTTCTAAGAAGCTTGCTCTGACATATCAAGGCTTCTTCTGGTGATCCTTTCAAGAACTTAAAGCCTTCAACACTTAACTCGTTATATAATTATACAATTGTTTACTTGAATCAGTCACTCAATAAACTGTGTATTCCCTGATGGCATAAAATAATGTTCAATAAATGTTAGTTAAATAGATTTATTTTTACTGTAATTTTAAAATATAAATGCTTTATATATTAATGATTTATTTTATTATTTTTAAAATATATCTTTATTGATGTCAGAGAGAGGAAGGGAGAGAGAGAGAAAGATAGAAACATTAATGAGAGAGTCGTCATTGATCGGCTGCCTCCTGCACGCCCCTAACTGGGGATCGAGCCTGCAAGCCCGGGGCATGTGTCCTGACTGGGAATCAAACTGCAATCGTCTGGATCCTAGGTCAGTGCTCAACCACTGAGCCACACCCAGCCAGGCTGTAGGGGTGGTTTCATAGTCCCTCCAATTTACCTCTATAGCTACCACTTCCTTCTCCTACATCACCACCTTCCCCTCCTTTTAAATTTGTCTGAATATGAAAGCCTGTTTCCTTCATTCCTCTAATTCATCTTTCTCTGCCCGTCCACCTCTGAGAGTACAGATGTGACCCTCACACTATTCTGTACCTGTCTCCTACTTAGTATTTGCCACACCGCATTGTATGATACACTTTCCATTACAATCCGGGCACTCAAGGCCAGGGGCCTTGTGCTTGGAATAAGGTTTAAATAAATGAATATAGTTTAAA